TCGGCCTAATCAAGAGGAATTATTATCATAACATTTCAAGTGAAATATGATACTAACATCAAAGATGAGGATATTAGTCTGTATGAAAATAATGCAAATAATGTGGTCATATATAGGTACCTTGGCTTAAATCACTTTCCCACCACCATAACATAGCTTTCCTGCCTTTTCTATAAATATCTTCATTTTACTGTGGGTGAGAGAATATAAGAAAAAAAAATCACTATTAAGGAGAGAGAACAATAAAAGTGTTGTATCCTTAAAGAGGTTACAAACAGACAAAGGTGGTACTTGAATGAAGGAACAGCAACACGCGTGTAGATAAAAGAAGAGGGATTTATTGTAAAAGAGAATGCATTACTGAAAGACAGGGAATCGGGTGGCAGGCTAGTAATTCCCGAAGCAAGCCCCCAAGTATATCCAGTGCTCACTATATATAGCTACTGATACAGTCAGTCCATATAAGTGATAGGGAGTGTAGGACATTCCATTACAACAAAAAGAAAAAGAATTAAGAAGAGAGATGATAATGATTGACATTAAATTTAAATTTTTGAAGATCAATGCTGACTGGAAAGCAAAAACCCAGAAGAGAGTTTCACAAGCAAAAAGTGTGAGAGAAGAACCTGTTAGCATAAAACTTACAGTTATATCTAGCCATTTTAACACTTAAAATGATGAGACCTTTTCTGCCAAACTTATACTGTGCTTAAATTCATAAATTCTAGATACCCTAGAAGTCCATCAGAAAGTATTGTGAAATAATTGTTATGATGAACATTCCTCTATGGTACATAGACTGCATGAATTTAAACAAAATTGGCAGCATAGTCCCATCATTTTGCATTTGAAATTGTTAGATGTAGCTATAAATTCTATGTTAACAGTTTCTTCTCTCACACTTCTTGCATGTGGAATTTTCCCAGCTTCTTGCTTTCTGGACAACTTTTCAGTTCAAAAAATATAATTGCAATGTCAATCGTTATCTTCTGTTTTCTTAATTCCTATTCTTTTATTCTCTCTTCTTGATAATGTTTTTTTTCTCATATTCTCTCACACTTAGTTACTCCTAATGTCTTAGTGGCTGTATTACCTTGCTTGGAGTGAATGATTAAAAAAAAAGAAACAGGTTAGACAGGGAACATTTCAGTACACCCTCACAATTCAGAAACAATTAGCATGAAGCTTTTTTTAAAAACAATAATTACCTCTTAATCAAGTGGTTATGAGTCTGAGTACTTTGGTTCCTGTTAAATGGTAGGTATCTTGCTAGTAAATAATAAAGCTAATGATATGCACAAAGTAAATAATATAAATAATGCTAACTCCTCATCTCAGAAATTCAGACAGAAAATTCTCATGTTTAGTTATTTGATCAGATTTTTGAAGTGGATCAGGTTGAGAACTTTTCAGTATCCCTTTGTAAAATTCTTTTAAACAAAATATATTTATTTTTATTATAAGGGAGATACAAGATTTAATTCTTCTTTCAGGCATGATATCAGATCATTTGTAAACATCTATGCCTCAAAGACCAAATTGTTACATTCCATTATTGCTGATTGGACACTGAGCTACCACCAATCAAGATGAACGAATGTCTCCTCGGGGAGGCATCGTGCCTTGAAATTTGGCCTCAACTCACACCTGATCTCAGGTGAAACTCATACATATGATCCATTACTAAGGATAAAATAGTCAGCTCCCTGTACCACTTCAGTAAGTACCTGACTCCTACTGCTATCCTCTACCTTTACAAGAACTAGATCAGGCAAAAAATGGAGTACTGTTGACATATTTGGGTGGGAGCAGCCCAGACCTCACTCTCTCCAAGCCCTTGTGGGTGACGAATTATTCTCTATCCTCCATCCTATCTCCTACAGATGGGATGTGGCAAACCTCTCACTGCTCTATCACTATTTTCATGGAAACTACATTCCCACGTCCCTCCAATTCAAAACTTCATGGCAAAGACATGCCATGTCACTAACATAGTAGCAAACTGTCCACATTCCCTCTGTATTTCATTGGTGAGAAGTAAGTTCCATTCTAACAGCTTCTTCTCACAATCCATTGTTCTCTGGAACGGATGCCTAAGAGGAACTTTCCTCAGTCAGTACAATCTCTGCCTCTTCCATCTGCCTCTTTTTCAGCATCACTACGCGTTTATATAGAAAATCCCGGCCGGTCATAACCGACCCTTGGCCCTACTACTTTGCACGCGATTATTACAGGGTTATGGCTGTTTCAACCAAAATCATGTGAATTCTAAAGTTCCTCCTTGCTTACTTAGCTCTATTCCAAGTTTTAATCAATGAAAATTATTTCGTTCATTTCCATTCTCTTGTGATGACCCAGATTCAATGGGTACAACTTCTGCCCTAGTTCAGGTTTCCCCATCAGTAAACAAAAATGCTCTGATCTAATTTCTCTGTTCAAATCCACTCCAATTTCACTAAAAAAAATATACGTGTATGTGTGTGTGTTTCCCAGACTCTCTCTGTCACATTTCCTCCCCTACCCATCTATCATTTACTAGTAAATGACACATGAGCTTTCATATCAACAAAATATGAGAAAACCCAGTCCAACGTGCTTCTTACTAGGGTTTACTTAAACATACGTCTCTTCCAGCACGCAAAGGTAGAGTCCTTAGTTCTTCTTAGGGCTCATTTTGCCCATTTACATTTTCATTGTCCTTATGACACATATGTATATGCAACTTCCGGTTAAAGTTCACTGTTTTGGTGTTCTCATGCAATAGAACCTTTTCACATAGTTCACTAGTTCGAGTGTTCTTTCCTTTTTTTTTTTCTTTTTTTTTTTTTGAAGTTCGCAACACTCCTTACCAATTATTTCAGTCTCATTACTAAAAATAAAAAATTCGATTTACTTCGTAAATCTGTCCCTCCGATTTTGTCTTGCCTTCATAACAGGCTTTGTTGAATCTTTTGTTGGTTCAGGCCCTTCCACGACAATCGTAGACTCTTCTTCAATATCAGTTAGGGGTCCCAATTCACTCGGGACGGACCTACCTTGGTAAAGTGCACTAACTGGAATCCCTCCTTCACTCATGCACTCCCGTGCCAGTTTATTCTTCCCAGTCGACAACACCGCACGCCTCTTCAACCACCACCAAATCAACAAGGCCACGACTATCATTATTATAATTTCCACAACGGTCGGCCAGGTTATTATAGCAACACAATTCTCTCTTCAGCCCGAATTCGGCGTACCTATCTTATCTAACTCTGACTTCAACCGTCCAAGATCAATCTTATCGATTGGCTTTAACAACGCCGGCATATTTTCTAGCGACATCTTAGGAATCTCTCTCACAAAGGGTTCCCACAATCCCGTCCATCCACTGGTATTCGTTCCTACCGGTTCTAACAAAGCGTCATTCTCTTCAAACTTTTCTTTTGCTTGGTAGTAGGGCGGTAAAGAGATAGATGGACCATGAGCTCCACAGCCAATGGGTAGCTCTACGAAAAACAAAGGGGGAATAACTCTTATCGTAGTGGTGGGCTTCCCTTCACACACCTTATATAATTCTATCTCTTCTTGTGTGGCCACTGCCCAAATTCCGTCAGAGACACTGGTTGCTTTAGGTAACATTACACTAGCCAGCACCTTTACCTGACAATGATCTCTAATTCCCTTCTTATTCTTTTTTAAATAAATCTAGTACACTCAGATCGTGACTACCTGTCACGTAAATTGGATTTACAGACCCACAGATACCTAAGGCATCATTCTTGCATGTTTCTGCTTCTCCCTTTGTTAATAGCATAAACTCTGTCCTGGCTAGGTTTAGGGCAACAAATTCCGTATCTACATTGCACCTAGCCACCGCTCCTATCTTCGGCCTTAGTTTTGGATAGGGAAGGGGAAGATTCATCACCTGATAAATTTCAAAGGTACTATCTCTGTCCAGTAATGGAACCGGCACTAGCACTAGCAATTTGTCTTCTTCCAACAAGGTAGTACATCCCAAGGCGCTATAATAGCTCCATAACTGCTGGGTGGGGTCTACAGGTAATCTAAGGTGATAGGGTAGTTTGGCTTGTATCTCCAGTAGTACTTCCCTTAATCGTTCTGGCGTTATTATACTCGGAGACAGGTATCCCAGCGACAGCATGTCTAATTGTGCTCTCACATGCTCTAACAACACCGTTAAAGAGCGACTTGTTTGACGTACCTTACTCATTACAGCTAATAATTGAAAATACCTTTGCAAAAACCTCTCTAATTTCTGTAATTCAGTTGTTACAGACGTGGTTACATTTATCGCTTCTTTTCTAAAAACCTGTAGGTGAGAAATCAACCAATTGATACTCCCTCTAAGCCAATTCCAGCCTAGTAACAATGAGTATAGATACCCTCTCTCTAACCGACTGAGCCATTATTTGTTGTCTCTGTTCTACCACCTTTAATTTCCTCTTAATTACTCTCACTTCATCTTCGGAGACTGTACCAAACAACATGCTTAATGCCTTTCCCACTATAGGTAATACTGCCCTCTTTTGCCTGGTTCGTAACAACTTTATTCCTTTCAAATAGTAACTCAAATCCTTCCATTGTCTCTCAAGTATTAGGGATTCCTGAGCTAAGGGGTATAATATACGGTGATATGCCGGAGTCTGTAAATAGTCTCCGGCGACTTGTGTCCTGGCTGTATCTAGTTTGTCCACTTCATCTTCAACTGACCCAGTAACTTCTCATACGGCTGCAGGTCTATCACCAAAGTTATCAACCACTTTGATCTAGTTATAATCACTTTGCTAGTCTTCTTAAATACAGTATTCTCACTGTGTTCCCAGGTATTAGGTCCCACAACTAGCATTGTCAGTACCACGAGCCTTCTCTCGTCCATGTCTGCAAAGAGATGGAGAGAATAATTCGACCATTCTCAATCATTCACTTATTGTTTTTTAGCGGGTGGTTACATCTTAGAGCGATACCTCAAGCACCGACCCACACCACCACCAGTGCCGTGCATGCATGGGGGCCGTCCACACAGTTCACCAGCACCGATGATAAATGCACAGTTAATCCCAGACCGTCACTCATTCACCACAGCCACTGTACTAGTTTCACTTAATCCTTGGGCTCGGGCTGCACCGCTCCACTCAATCACCGTTTTAGTGGTAATTCCTCATTAACACTTGGTGCTTTTTCAGCCCGCAATTTACTCTGCAATTGAGCTAACGGAATTTCATCCTCTTCTTTCCATTCACTCAGTTCTTCTTCTTCCCTAAGGTTAGGCTCAATCCCTACTTCCCCAGAATGTTCCGCTGGGGTCCGACTTACCTCCCTCAGCCTTTGAAGGGTAGTTGGGCTAATTTCATTCTCCTCACTCCCTTCACTTTCACTCTCAGTCTCTAACCCTTCAGGTTCTACCAACGTAGTTTTCCTCGGCCTTTTCTGTTGAGTTTTTGTTTTCAACTAGCTTTATATCATTCGCATGCACTCTCTTTACCTGTCCGGTCAATTGGTCCCAGATCACAAAGGAAAACGAACCCGTCTGCTCCACGATCCTATAGTATGGACTCCATCTCTGGTTCAATTTACCTTCTCTCCTGTGTATTTTATAATACACTGGATCACCTATTTGGAAGGAAACTTCTCTATTTTTATTTAGCCTATTGTTTCACCTTTTCTGGGCTCTTTGAATCCTCCTCCTCACCTGCGTAAAAATTTTATTACTGTTGTTCTAAAACTATTTGTTGATGATCCTCTCTTAAATACTTCCTCCTAGGTCGTAACAGATTGTCTATAGGTAAGACTACATCCCTGCCATATATCAAGTAATAAGGGGAAGATTTTGTCATCTCGTTCATCGAGAATCTCACAGCTGCTAACGTTTGGGTTATGAATAAATCCCAATTTTCCCTATTATCCTCTGTTAGTTTAGAATGGAAAGGAACACATCAGCGAGGGTCTTATGAAATCTCTCTACCTTAGCGTTACTTTTGGGGTGATATAGAGAGGTGGTTATGTTCTGTATGTTTAATTCTCCCAACGTCTCTCTCATAATCTGATTCACATTCTCCAAGCCATTATCGGTAACCAACTGTTCGGGGTCCCCATATCTAGGGAATATTTCGTTCAGTATTATATCTGACACCGTCCGTGCCTTCTTATCCGTATGGCAAATGTCCCAGGCCAATTCGTCAGCCAGTTCACAAAACTCACTATGTAAAGATTACCCCTATGTGTTGGGCCCGGAAATATCCATGCTTACTTTCTGAAATGGATAATTCGGAACATCCGTTTCTAATACTGGGGCAACCCTACTCCTTCGACTCTGTACTTGGCATGGTTCACTATTAAACAACTTAGGCCAGTAGTAATTTCTCATTATTAATCCATACGTCTTATCAATTCCAAGGTGTCCTAACCTCCTATGACACTGGTCTAGAATTACTCAACTTCTCAGGTATCATCATTTTTAAACTTCTTCACCTCTTCCTGAAAGGTAATACAAAGCTCCATCGGGCATCATATATTTGGAGGTACGCCCTGCCTCTACCCTGGACCTGATAGTTGCTATCTCGCTATCCTCTTTGCTTTGCCTAATAATCTCTCTCCAGTGGGGGTCGGAAACAATCTCCGTTTCACTCGTTTCCTGATCTTCCCAACCAAGTCTCTCCTTCAACGCGTGTGAATTGATCACATTAATTTGGAATGATTTATCATCCACACCCGGCTCTAACCTAACAGATTCGGTCTCCAATTGCCTCGGAATCCTCGATAACAGGTCAGCACAGGTATTATCCTTCCCTGCTAAATATTCTATTCTGTAGTTATACCCACTTAACTTCAATGCCCACTGTTGTATCTTCTTATTCGTCCACTCTGCCTCTAACAAATATTTGATGGGTTGGAGGTCTGTTTTAATGGTAAACACAGTCCCACTCAAATAATAATCTAATTTCTGCACAGCATACAGAATGGTGAACGCCTCTTTTTCTATTACTGACCACCTTTGCTGAGTCTCGGAGAGCTGATGAGACAGAAAATAGATCGGCACTTCCTCAGGCACACCCGGTACTGGTCCATCCTCATCGGGACATCGTTGTGTAAGAACCGCCCCGATGCACATCGCTACCATCGGTGCCATGGGCTTACTCAGGTTTGGGTAGGCCAACAGGGGTATAGCTGTCAGCTGGACCTTTAGAGCCTCGAATGCACGCTGACAATCCTCGGTCCACTTAAACCTAGCATGCTTCTTAATTCGAGCTACTAGAGGGCCTGATAGCCGACAAAATGCTGATATGAACCCCCGGTAATATCCGATGGCTCCGATAGATACCCTAATCTCCCTTTCGGTCTTCAGCGCGGGCATGGCCCTTATAACCTCTGTTTTGTCCCTATCCGTTTTTATTCCTTTTTTGTTTATGATAAATAAATAAGTACTTTGTCTCTTCTTTCATAAACTGACACTTCGATAATTTTAACTTTAATCCATGTTCTCTTAACCTATCGAACACCTGCAGATGTTAAAAATGGTGATTTTGAAAACACCATGATGTCATCTAGATACACCATGGCAAAGGCCTCAGTGCCATTCAATACGATGGACATTAACTGACTAAATACAACCGGGGCGTAAACGGCATAACTCTAAAATTGAAGAGACCCATGTGGCAGATAAAAGCGGTCTTTTCCTAGTCCTTTTTCTAAGTGCTACCTGCCAATATTCCGACCTCAAATCCCAGGTGGAAAAACATTTAGACTTTCCTAAAAGAGCTAGAATATCATCGATCAAGGGGAGGGGCACTGCCAGCGGTTTCGTAATGGCATTTAATTGACGAAAATCCACACAAAACCTATGCTATCCATCCTTCTTTTCAATAATCACTAGTGGAAAACTCCAGGGAGATTTGGATCTTTCGATTATCCCTGATTCCATCATTTCATTCACTGCGTTCTCTACTAATTTTCTCTTGTGGATTAGGGTGCTATACGGTCTTAACTTAATAGGTGGGTGATTACCCGTGTCTATCTTCATTTCAACTGTCTCCGTCTGTCCCAGTTCCTTATTAGTAATGGCTATTACCTCCCGATTACCGTTCAGAAACCCCCTCAATTTCTTCCTATAACGCTCAGGAGCTGTTATATCTTCCTCCCTTCTTGCTACCTGTCTTATTCCAAGGCCTATTCTCATTCCATACTCTCACCTGTTCAACTTCTCTCACTGGGCACGGCTGTACCAGCTTCTCTCCCTGCTTTATTTTAATAGTTTTATTTGCAGTATTGGTTAACAGTAAGGGAACGGTCTCCGGCCTCTTCACCAACGAATCACACACGGTTATTTCCCCTTCACTATTATCATACCTATCAGTAGGGACCACTTGGTACAGGTCACTGTTCAGCACTCCTTCTGTTATAATTTTGCCCTTCCCAGATACAGTAGTCCTAGGGGAAGCTTTATATCTGTCTGGGCCACCACTGGCAATTGTTCATGATTATCCTCTCCCAACACCCCGTCCAATGTTAGGGTGGCGGGGTCGAAACGGATCTGTGCCTTATTCTACCTAAGCTAGTCACTCCCCAAAATTAGCTCACCACACAAGTCAGGTGACACATAAACCTTAGATTTACCTCTGGTTCTTGTCAACTGGAAAGGTAGCCACGTCATACACTCTATCCTCATCCTGCTACTATCAGCCTGACTTCTTAGTAGATCGACGGGAGTAAGCTTCGTTTTCAGTCCCAACTCTCTAAAAACCTTGGAGCTAACCAATGATACTGAAGCTCCAGTATCGACAAAGGCCTTCACCTTCTTGTCTCCCAGCAACACATTACAGGTGAAGTCTGGCCCTTCCTTCAGCAAACGGTATACCTGTGCCTTTCTCCTTCCCGTATGTTCTCTCCCTTCCCCCCCGCTTTCTCGACAACCGAGACGTGGGAGTCGGTGACAGGAGTTCAACTTTTTCTAGGGGCTCCCATTTTTGTCTAGGGGCCCTCCTGGGTGGGGTAGAGCTCAGATGACTCTCTTTTCTCGGACTAGCAACCCATTTCTCCCCTCTATTCGAGTTAAGGTTGTTCCGTTCGGTGTGGTCCATCTTTCTCTTGCGAGGACAGGTTCGTCTCAGGTGACCCGCTCCTCCACACCGCCAACAAATTCGCTCCTTATAACTTGCCGAAAAGTGCCCGACCACACCACATGTCCAGCATCTCAGAGGTCTTATTCGCACTGGGGCCACCCTGCCTCTTACTTTTTCACGGGTGACCCATCGGCGTTTCCCGGACCCTTTTCCTTCTCGGCAGGGGGCATCAGCGTATTAAGTCGCTTTATCCCCAGTTTTAGGTCTCCTTCTACCGTACATCACCGAGCCTTGTGCCCGAACTCGCCATAAGTCGTGCAGTTCGGCCCAAAGTCCTTGGGTCGCCTCCATAGTTTGTCGGACCGTCAAGAGCTCGATGCCCACCATACTTGCAAGTCCAGCACACCAGCCCATATCGGCCCGGTGTGGGCTTGTGAAACCCATAACGCAGATCCCAGGCTCTCCTATTGGGAACTGTTTCAGCCTTCCAGTCCTCTTCCACCTCTTTTTTCGGGTCCCATATCTGGATCCGCTCCCGGCCCTTCTTTTTCATCACTACTTTGCTCCCCCCCACTTATTCTATCCCAGAGTCGTTCGCTGGTCCGAGCCGCCTCTATGGCTGCGGCCAGGCTGACCGGTCCCAACTTCAGAACATCGCCCCTCAGGTCCCTGTCACTCAGCGCGTCCACATACACATCGGCCAACAAGGCCTGAATAGGATCACTGTCCTGAGTCGCCAACTCCGGAAAAGCTAACGCCGCTAGCCCCGCGATTCTTTCCCCCAATTCCTATTAGTCTCTCCTTCTTGTTGCTGCAGCCGGAATAATTTCCCGACTGTCTCAATGGCCGTACGTATTGCCGCATTTAAGCTCGGTCGATGTCAGGGCCTGGTTTTCTTTGTATCCCCACCCCTGTGGGCTTGGACACCTGCCCGCTGCGACGTCGTAAGCTAGGAGCACTATTTCTTGGTCCGAGAGGCCATAGATCACCTGCTTCTTCTGAATGGACAGAATCCATTCGTGCAGGTCCGCAGGGTTTCCTTTATATGTAGGTAGCTTCATGCTACCTATCAGCCTCCTGAAACCCATCGATATTTCGGGGACTCCCACGTCCCCAAGGTCATCTGTGGCGTCTGATCCTGCTACGCTCATCCTAACGTCTTGTCAACTACGACTTTCCTACGAGAAGAGAGACTGACGACAGAACGAAAGGAAAAATACTTAATACGGTGATGGCACTTCAACTGCGTACAAAGTCGACAAAGTCAAAACAAGATCAACAATATTACTGGCAGATCTAAGTGCAATGAGAAAAAAAAAAAAGGAAACCAAAAAGTGACTTACCTGAGGTCCGCCCCTCCGTGTTTTATTTCTTTTTCCTCCTTCTTTTGCTTCCTTCTCTTTCCCTCCTTATGTCACTTTTAGACCAATATAGCCCGAAGACTAGAGTCATTTCTGGTCTTACTTGATCCCGACTGGACAAAACAAATGCAACCTTCTCTCCTCTTTCAGACGGTCGTGGTAATTTCCACGGGTCTATCCTGGTCACGGCTACCAGTCTAACACTTTCGCCCCAGCCCCTCAACCTCCGACGACTTACTCTCTGGGTTGACGTGTCTACTCGGTCCTAACCGAACAAAATGGAGTGGCCTAGGTCCCCTGAGCATCCGTAGATTATTCGACCAGTCCACTTGTTTAATCCTGCTTCCTGCCCACGTTGTGTTTGGTTTGATACAGAAAGCAGAAGTGATGTTCATCCATTCACGGTCGACTGAAAATGTAGACACGGCTGGAGAGTCTGCGCTTAGAAATTTAGAATGCAGCAAAAAACAAACAAACAAAAATTAATATCTGCAGAAAACCGGACAAACAACTATTCAATGATTGAATTGTTAATGTCTTTTATATAGCAGAAAATAATAGTATAGAAAAGAAACGGGTTACAGAAAAGAAAAATAATTGACGTAGAAACGCATACACCGGATTCTGGACATAGAGAGAATGTGTTATGATTAACTTGTTAAATCGTCTCAGAACGATATACGACTCTTGCGATAAGTTTTCTGTGCGCGGCTTAAAGTTTATATTGGCGCTCCTCCTTAGCAGTAGTAACAGTAGTAGTAATATTCGTGGTAGCAGAAGCAGCAGTACTAGCAGACGCTTCGTTCCAATCTCTGGCGTCACGTTCTCTCTCCTTCTTGAGTCTCCAACTCAACTGTCCACTGTTTCTAGCCGAACTCTTGCTCGTGCTAATTCTCTTCTGTCTCTCTCTCTTCCATCTGCCTCTTCCTCTGTATTTCAATGGTGAGAAGTAAGTTCCACTCTAACAGCTTCTTCCCACAAGCCATTGTTCTCTGGAACGGATGCCTAAGAGGACCTTTCCCAAGTCAGTACAATTTCTGCCTCTTCCATCTGCCTCTTTTTCAGCATCACTACGCGTTTATATAGAAAATCCCGGCCGGTCATAACCGACCCTTGGCCCTACTACTTTGCACGCGATTATCACTGGGTTGTGGCTGTTTCAACCAAAATCATGTGAATTCTAAAGTTCCTCCTTGCTTACTCAGCTCTATTCCAAGTTTTAATCAATAAAAATTATTTCGTCCATTTCCATTCTCTTGTGATGACCCAGATTCAATGGGTACAACTTCTGCCCTGGATCAGGTTTCACCATCAGTAAACAAAAATGCTCTGATCTAATTTCGCTGTTCAAATCCACTCCAATTTCACTAAAAAAATATAAGTGTGTGTACGTGTTTCCCAGACTCTCTCTGTCACAAATCTTAACCTGTTCAAGGTTAGGGCTAACGATTATCTTACACTCCTATCTGCACAGATTGCCTCCTAATGTAGCCCTCTAACTCGAGTCGCACCCAGGCCTTGTAAAGGGTGAACATCACTATAAAAAAGCCATCATATTGCACAATTTAATTCTGTTTCTGCAGACATGATGCAGATCTTCTGTTTCCTGTTTGGAGGCATGAACATTGATGCACGTCATATCTGTGAGCTCTCTCAGAAACACACACACACACACACACACACACACACACACTCACACACACACACACACACATATATATATATATATATATATATATATAAATTCAGATATAAAACAAATATATCTGTAAAAAGACAATATGAATAAAGACAAAAGTATATATATTAAAGAGAAGAGAAAAGCTGCAAACGTTTTTGGTTATAATGTGGATTTTTTAAAAATATATATTATACTTTATTTTCCATATTTTTTTGCTACACATGTTTTGGGTCTTGTCACCTTAATCAGGCAAAAAGTGGTTATTTCCACATATTATTTAAAGGAATTGATTTTTTAAAACAAATAAACCCAACTATTTTTGGTAGCGCTATACTATTATCATTATATTTATCATATATACATGCTACTATAATATTTTTAACACTAATAAATTCTACTATAATAACATGTATTTAGAGATTCTTCATAAAATACAAGAAAGAATCTGCAATGTCACTGGTCCTGACCTGGCATCTTTGCTTCATTCTCTTTCCCACTGCTGTAAAATAAGCTTCCTTATGCCTTTTTATAAATATTTTCATTGTAATTGTTCTGATGAACTTTCCTCTCTGGTACCTAGAATTTATGAATTTAAACGCAGTACTAGATTGGCGGCAAGGTCTCATCACTTTACAGTTGAAATGGCTCGATGTAACGATAAATTCTATGTCAACAGTTTCTTCTGTCACACTTCTCGCTTGTGGAACTCTCTTCTGGCTTTGATCTACAAACATTTAAAAGCAGTGTCAATCGTTATCTTCTGTCTGACTTCTCAATCCCTGTTCTTTATTCTTCTCTTTCCATAATAATGTTTTCTTTTTCTCATATTCTCTTAATTACTTTACCATATTAGTCTTGTTATTATGGATAAAATGTAATATTTATTTCATGCACAGTTTCAGATCCTCTACTCTTTTTCATGTCATATACAAGTGCCATCTGGAATAGCCCAGCCAGTAGGAATTTTTCAATTTTGAAAAGAAATGTGCTAGTTCAAATAATTGTTTCACCAGGAATTTTTATATAAGTTTATTAAAGGTTGAACAAAATAATTGTTCTGCAGGAAGAATTATTTTAAAAATAATATGCATGTCAGACCAAATAAGTATCCTGAAGTGTGTGTGTGTGTGTGTGTGCGTGTGTGTGTGTGTGAAATTGAAAGAAATAAGTTATTCATATCAGCACTTGTATTTGGTACATAGGTTAAATAAATTCTTTTTATTTCGATCAGTTGACCTGAAGAAGTCACAATTTAAAATAAAATAATTTAAAACAATATTCAGTTTGATAATTATCTAAATTCTTAGTCGTATCTGGAAGATTCACTGTAAACATTTTTGCCATAAGAAAACTCGCCTCAGGAATTTTCGCCGAAGGAAACTTTGCTGTAGAGGATTTTTGCCGTAAGACAATTTCACTACATTTTTTTTTTCGATACCCTTATCTTGAACGTCCCTTTTGGAGTAATGTTCAGTTTAATATGCAAAGTACATTGTCATCAGGGTATATATGGATGTCTTTTTTACAGGGTCAAACATTATTCTTTGATCAGATATTTTATACTGAAGTTGGTTACGTATTCAAGTTGTAAGTTTGTTTGAAATAATATATATTGCTTGAGCGAGAATTATTGGCAGACTGATATTATGTTAACAGAAAGTTTAAGGTTAAGTCTGAAATATGAAATTGCATGACGTAGGTTCTGGTGTCAAGTTGAATTTTTACTCCTTACTGATGCAGATGAATTATGTAGGATTTTGATCCTATAACTTCGCTTATTAAAATATTTAAATCGAAGTAACAATTGTGTGAGCCAGATATACTTGAATACAAGTTACTTTGCATATTAAAAAAAATGTGGCAAAATTGTCTTACGGCAAAAATCCTAAATGGCAAAGGTTTCTATGGCGAAAATTCCTGAGGTGAGTTTTCCTTCTTGGATTCACGTTTTCCCATGACATGAAGTGGAGTGATTATATTGAACTAATTGCTGGGTCTGCTGCTAGGAAAGTTCGCTCACTGTGTCATTCCAGACTATTTTTTTTCACCAGAATCCATCTTGTATCTTTATAAATGTACTATTTGTTCATGCATTGAATATTGCTGTCATATCTGTTCTGATTCTGCTATATATCTTGAGATTCTCAACAAAATCCAAAGGCTCTGTAGGGTTCAGATCTGTCATCTTGACTGCACTCACTTTCTCACAGGCATGATGTGGCTTTCTTGTGTCTTTTCTGTAAATACTTTCATAGCAGTTGTTCCAATGAGCTTTCATCCTTGGCTCCTCAAACACATGAATTTAAACATACTTTTAGATTGGCAACTAGATTTCATTGTTTTACTGCTGAAATAGCTAGACAGTTTCTTTTCTCACACTTCTCACCTCTTGCATTCTCTTTTGGATTCTTGCTTCTCTATCACATGCAATCTTCAAAAATTTAAATGCAACATCAATTGCCATCTTCTGTCTTCCTTATATCTGTTCTTTTTTGTCCTTTCTCCTTTCTAAAGTCTTCTCATTTTCTTTCACTCCCAGTAACCCTTGTGTCTTAGTGGCATTACTGTTTTGCCTGGGATGAAATGATTTATATATATATATACACTGCGTGCCAAATTATTATCGAGATAACTTTTTTCTAATATTTCAAAAACTGCGCAGATCAGTACGAAAATTTCAGTGCTTGCGCAGGTTAGTGTTGCCAATATTGTGTGAAAATTTTGTGTGAATTGATTGGACAGTTTTTGAAACATTAGAAAAAAGTTATCTCGATAATAATTTACACGCAGTGTATATATATATATATATATATATATATATATATATATATATATATATATATTTGCAATGAGTTGGTTGGTTATACAAATTCATTTCTAATGCTTGCAACTATTTTTTAATTTGTGATGTAGTTGCCAAAATAAAGCACAATGTCTATTATTAGCAATGAGTGGCTTATGCTTTTTTAGTCATTAAAATAATGTCAAATTTTCAGGAGGCATCAACATTTGACGCAATAAACATTAGAGCCTTGGCTAATCAATGATGAGCCATGACTCAAGTGGATGGGACTGACTCGGCTATGTGTGTCATGTGGCACTAGAAACATTCTGACTTCAGCTCCTTTATCTCCTATTAGATATTTATCTGAGGG